CCATGCTGCCCAACTAAAACTAGAAATAAACTAGAAACTGAATAATCATCAAAAACAATCTCCCTTATATCATGAATTGACTTTCTAACAAGTAAATAACCTACATTTCATTTCAACTTATGAAAAATAAATTTACTAATACTACTTTTATGTTTTTAATGTTTTATTACTGGGATTTTTGAAATTACAATTTTACTGGCAACAATTCCACTGCTAAAAATGTTTTTAAAAACCAGTATAATGTACTGTCAGATTTCCATTACTGGAATCTATACTATTTAGGTTTAAAGCCCAACTTCAGCACCTACTGTGTGGGATACTTGAGCAAGTTTCTTAATCTCTCTAAATCTCAAGCTTCTACAGCTATAAAATACTGGTCCTGCAGTATTTACCTTACAGAGCGGTTCTGAGAACTAAATGAGATAAGGCAAGTATAGTACTTGGCATAATATTTAACTATTAATAATCACTGATCTGCATTCAAAGGAGATGAGAGCAACATTGATAAATGAAAATTTCAGATAAAAAAAACTTCACTGAGGTTGTTCATTCAGCTGATATTTGTTACTGCATTAAATTTCATTCCAAAAAGAATTTAGAGCAACTGAAGAATACATCTAGTGTAATAAAACAATTTAAAAATAGATGTACAAAGCAGGAAAAATGAAAATAAAGGTAGGAAAATAAATTGGAGTCAAGATAGTACCTATTTATAAATACAGATCATACAAATTTCTATACAGCTTCTACAGATAGGTTTATCTCCAAACATGTGGCTCTGTTTTCCAGAAGCCTCAACAAAAGGAAACACACAATCAGGTTGCAAACAAGATTTGGCCCGTGAGGTCATGGTTTGCTGATCCCTGGCCTATGTAATGAAGAAATGTCCCACCCTAAATGTCAAGAGTTGAGAAGACCAGTGGAACGTATAAAAGTTATCCCTACAGAAGTATATTATCAAGATTTTCCCGACTTTTTCTTAAGATGCAGGCTGAATGTATAACTTTATCAAGAAAAAGTTCAATAAGAACAAGTCTATGACACACTAAAAAAAGTATATTTCACATATTATATAGCTTTCTTCCATTTCAAGCATAAACTATAGAAAACTCAGATATATGTATCAATGTACTAAGTGGGAACCAAGGTGCTAAACACAATGCTCCCTTTTTACTAGCTTACAGTCTTATCCTTGAAGACTTCATTTCTCTTAACTGAATTCTTGAATAGGAATTATGTGGCAGAGTCTGGAGGTTCTATTCTCTGTGAAGCTGCTGGAGTATATATCCTCTAGGCAGGGCCATGTAATTTCAGCCAGGCCGGTGATCTTGCTGGCCTATTCTTAAAATTCAGGAAGTTAACTGATAGCACTATTTGATAGCTACCCCGCTAATGTATGAGGATAAAGCCCACAGAGTAACTGCAGGAAGACTCATAATTTTTCTTAGAAAACTGTTTTAAGTCTACTCTCAAACACAAAAAGATAACAGAAGTCCTAAAGTTTTCCTTTTTAAATAATTTACTGAGGTGAAATTCACAGAACATAAAATCAACCATTTTACAGTGAACAACTCGGTGGTATTTAATATAATGTACCACTACCACCTCTATCCAGTTACAAAACATTTCTATTATTACTTCAAAGTAAAACTCCTTACCTATTAAGCAGTTTTTTCCCCCATTCCCTTCCCCAACCCCTGTGTTCTGTAGAGACAGATTTATCTATTCTGAATATTTCATGTAAATGGAATCATACAATATGTGATTTTGTGTGTCGAGTTGCTTTTGCTTAGCATAATGTTATGGAGGTTCATGCGTGTAGAATGTATCAGTACTTTATTTCTTTTTATGGCTGAGTAATATCACATTGCATGTGCATATCACAATGTGTTTATCCACTGGTAAGTTATTTTGGCTGTTTCTACCTTTTGGCTATTGTGAATAATGCGGTCACAAACATGAGTGTGCATATACTTATTTGAATACTTGTTTTCTGTTCTTTTGGGAATACACCCAGGAGTGCTGTAACAGGCTCAAAGGCAATTCTATGTTTAACTTTTTGAGGAATAGCCAAACTGTTTTTCATAGTGCTGAATCATTTTGTATTCCCACTAGCAATATACAAGAGGTTCCAATTTCTCTACATCTTTACCAACACGTTTTTCCTTTTTTATTATAGCCACCCTAGAGCATTTCATTATGGTTTTGATTTGCATTTCCCTAATGACTAATGATGTTGAGCATGTTTTCATGTGTCTTAATCATCTGTGTTATATCTTCTTTGGAGAAATGTCTATTCAAGTCCTTTGCCCATTTTTAACTGGGTGTTTTTTTTCTTGTTGAGTTCTATGATATATATTCTGGATACTAGATCCTTATCAGATATATGATTTGCAAATATCTTCTCCCATAGTCCTAAAGTTTTAAACTAGTTTCAATTTTCTCTTAAAGCATAAGTCCCTTTTTCAAGTATACCTTTGTTTGTCATTTGTATTTTTATGTACTGAACTCCAATCTGATATATAAAAGATAAAAATGAAGCTGCTCTAATAGAAGTGGAGAAATCTGGAGCCCTGACCACTTGGTGTCTCTGTAGCAAATTCCAGAATACTTGTGCAAATGAAACACAAAACATACGTCTTCTATCGCACTGAGTAATTGTGCACAAATTTTGTGTCCAAACACAGTGGCACACAGTCTGAAAGACACTGTCCTGCACCATTAAGGCTTGGTCATGCTATTAAAATATTTGAGACCCTGAGGCACGCGTACCAGGGAGGACTATTAATGCCAACCTATTCCAAATCTGTATGAGACCTACTAATAAGACACAGGTACTCCAGATGTACCCGCTTCTCTGCCATTTCAAAATAAAATCTGAAATAAAGATCTTGAATCAAACATTAAATCATCACAAGCAGCAGCAGAGATTCAAGTTATTTATTTAGTGAGAGTCTACTGTATCATTATAAACATCATTTAGAGAAAAATAATGCAGGATCAACAACAGTTTTAAAAAGCACATATTTATAGTTGGAGTGAGTACAATTTGTACTGTGCTATCATCATCTGTACAGTTGGTCCCATAACATATCCAATGTCACTGATTTACCAAGAGATGATCATTAGGATTGGCTGCCATATATGGCTATAGAAAAGAAAGGTATCTAACCTAGGAAGTCTTGGTGACAACACAAATATGCAAAAATCAATTAAGTTAACTAGTCTCCACGTGTAGGAAAAATAGTACCTTCGATAATAACTGAGAAATTTGAAAAAAAACACCTCATAAATCTTTACAGTAAAACAAAACCTAAAACAAAAAGTCCAAATTAAACTAAATTTTCAGAATTTCAAGTGTGTACTACTGGCCATGGTATGGCAACCAGAAAACACAAAGAACTATCAAAGTAGACCTGGTCACTGTTAACCGTGACAGGACTATTTTGCTTATCCATTTCTCATATAATAATCTTATTCCTGCATCTGAAAATATTTCAAACTCATGATTAAAACATATTTCCTTAAAAACAGCTTTTTGAAAATGTTTTTTACCTCTTCTTCCTCAATTTCAGAAGTGTTAAGTTCATGTTTTTGACAGTAAGGACCCTCTTTCCAAGCTTCAGTATCACCACAGTCACAGAAACCTCCACCTCCTGATGTTGTCATCTTGAAAAAAAATTGTAAAGTATCTTGTTAATAAGTATTTACCGAGGGCTATCAGATTACATTATCAAGTGCTAAGGAAACAACATTGCTAAAGTGTTTAATTTCTTTGGAGGGATACAATTAAATAAAATGCCAAACTTCTCAATGGTTTAAAGCTTATTTTAAATAAGCCTATAAGCTAATTTAAGTGATTTCACAATAAAATAAGCTACTTTGTAGTGAACTCATAAAATACAGAAAATTTAAAGTGGTAAAATATGTCCACCTACATGACTTCCTTAATTAGGAAAATCACAAGGGTTTTTGGACAGGGTTTTGGCTACATTAGTATAAAGTTGGCATCTATGCTGCCAGGTTACAGTGCTATACCAGATTCAAGAGTTATAAAGATTCCTATAGCTGCTGTCAGGTGGAATTGTCTAATAAGAGTGCCTCATTTGCATTAGAGAAGCTAACAAAAACTATAGAAATAGTTTATTTTTCTTTTCTAACACTCCACAGATAGCATCCTTTGAAAAAGAAGGAAGTTCTGGAAATACAAAAGTGGACTGACTGCCTGGTCATAACTTTTTACCACCTGCGGGGTTCAAGAATTATTCTTACTTCCTTAAGATATAGAAATGATTCAAGGAATCTGGCAAGACAGAACCTGTTATTTAATAATTGGCAGATTGGAAATTCAGCTTTAAAAAAAAATACTGTGAGAATTTAGGAAGGATATAAATTTTAGATGAGCCCTATTATATTCTGCCCAAAGAAACTATTTGTGTGATATATCACACAAATTAACGCAAACCCCAAATGAGTTATTCCCAGGGGCTGCAAAGATATATGTCAAGGAACATGGTGTAAGCAGGCACCCCACCCTGCCCCATAGCTTTTATGCTTGTTCTCATTCCCAAAGATAGGGAGACCAGATTGAAGGAAACTGGGATTCACCTACTGATTTATGAAAACAAAGAGAACACAAAAATACAAGGAGTTCAAATTTGTAGTTGCTTTTTAGTTCATTATTATCAACACTCAGGTACCATGAATAAAAACAAACAGGAGGAAAAGTCCTAAATCAACAGTACTCCTGAAATAATAACAAGATGGCACTATTCCTTCTCTACCATTTTACTTGGGATTAGGGTGAAAAAATTCCCTAAATTTTCAATGTTCATGGGTCTGTTTTTAATTTCTAGTAGAGGAATCAAGACAGGCTTAGCAATAATCTGCTTTTGTCTGTATCCCTGACTTAAAAGCAAACATAACCTGATTTTTGGAAAAGTATTGACTGCATTATAAGCAGTAAAAAATAATAAAATTGGCAGGTCTTATGTTCTGGAGTTGAGCCCTCTTCTACCCTAGCGTAGATACCTCTTTAATATTAAGAAATGACAAATCTTTTGTAGAAGATGACCAATAGATAGAATATTTCTTACATGTATATCCTGTCACTTTTCCTTACTTGTCTCACACATCCTCCTTTCGGATCCTCCCTCTCATACTTTTAACTCTCACCTTTATCCTCTGATTTTTGATAACCCTCTTCATAAACCTAGAATTATGAAGATAATAAACATTAAAAAATAGCAAAACAAACTAGTTGAAAACCAACAGGGAGGAGCTGATATCTGTGTTGTCTTTCTTAAATTATGTGTTTCAAAAGTTCTGAATTCATAGTTCATTTCTACATGGCCATCATATGCTTAAAAACGTTTAAGTAACACATTTCTTAAACTACTCTCCTGTTTTAGTGTTAAATCTTGGAATTTTAAAAAGACAGAAAAGGCATCTGGTATAAAATTCAATACTGGGTATGGTTATTAGCTGGATATTACTAACCCTGTATCGATGGTCTCTGTGAATACTTCCCAAAAAGCACTCCATGCATAAAACGCAAGTTGGATCAACTGCACAGTCTCTGTAAAGTTAAAAGGAAAAAAAAAAAATCAGAGTGTCAGAAAATAACTGTATATTTCACAACATATTTAAAATTGGAATCCATCCTAGAAGAGTCATTAATAGTGAAATACCTTGGTGTGAAAAGAAAGAAAATATTATTCCTAAAGGTCCGGCAGAGCTCTGATAAATGACGTCAGCTTAACAACCTGCTTCTCATACTGGATGTGTACCGGGGAGTCTGACAGCACAGGTTACTTCTAAGAACAGTAATGTTTCCCCAAGATTTGGGGAAATCACATTTGATACTAAAGCACACAGATGTATAGGTTATAGATTTAAAATTTTATGAATTCTTAAGATATACCTTGAGATGTCAAATAACTTCCTCCAAACAGGTGTTTTGGACCAAGAGTTTTTTCAAAGTGGTATGTATATACCCTGCCCCAGAAAGGCAAGATGTCTAAGATGCAAGAAAATATTAGAATGTGTATTTCTATTTAAATTTTAACTAACTTAAAAGGGAAATTAAACATTCTAAGTGTTCAATATATAGAATGACACGTCTCCTCACTTGGTCTGGTTGTCTGATGGTCACACAACACATAAGGTTAATAAGATGTCCTGACAGAAGAGGAATAATTCCACAAGGTGGGTGGGTTGACAGTATCCTCAGTCATTCCACTTGCTTTCATCATATTGCCAGTTAGCTACATTTACAGATAGATCATATCTTAAGAGAATCTATGTTAAGTCCATGATATGAAGATGGGGAGTCATGAAAATCTTTAAATTTCCCTTATCTTTGTTCCTGTATCCTCACAGACAACTACTCTAATGTGTTTATCTTGTGACCTTTTATTTGTATGTTTTTGCAAAATGTTTTTGAGTGCATGTATTTTTAATGTATGCAAATCTTACTGTGTTATATATCAAATTCTATTCTTTACTTTTTCACTCTGTAATGTGATCCATTCATTTTGTATGTGTCCATCTGATCCCTGCTTCTAACAGCTACAGTGTATGCCATGGTGTATATCCAAAACATTGTATCTCTCTACTATCCTGTGCTGGACACCTGGATTGACTCCAGTGCCTGTCTACCACAAATGATGCTGCAGGGAACATCCCTGCAAGTATTCTCTTATGGATCCGTGTAAGACTTTCTTTGGCATATAACGCAAGAGCAGAATTGCTGAGTCATGTACATGTACAGCTCTTATTCTGAGTGCCATGCTGCTGTCCGGAGTGGCTACATATTCCCCACCACTGCGTGAGGGTTTTTATAGCCCTGAATCTTCATCACCACTTGGTTTTACCTGGTTTTCTAATATGTTGCCAGCCTGACGAATATAGAATAACATGTCTTAATTTGCATTTCCCTGATTGCTAATATGTTTGAGCAACTCATCATAAACTTATTGCTTTGGGGGCTTCCTTTTCTATAAATTACCTGTTTATCCTTTGCCCATTTTTCTGCTGGGATTGCTTTATCTTACTTATAATTTAGTGGATATCTTGCTGTATAATCTAGAGAATATTAACCACTTGGCAATATTAAACATTGCAAATATTGTCTCCCATTTGTCACTTGTATATTATTTTTGCCCATTGGGTCCTTTGTTAAAACGAATTCCCTATTTTGACACAATTAAATTTACACACACACACACACACACACACACACACACACACACACACACACTGGTTTGTCTTTTGAGGTTTTAAGACTGTTTCCCCAACCCAGATTACAAAATAAATGTCATTGTCTTCTTTCAGTTTTATCTTCTACATTTAAGTGTTTAATTCATCTGCATCCACCTTTGTATCTGATATAGAATAGAGATCATCTTATTTCCCCATATATAATAAGCTACTTTTTTTTAATTCTAACACCATCTACTGAACAATCTAACTTTTACCTATTGATTGTGGTGTAACTTTTGTTAAGTTCCCACATATCCTTGGGTCTATTTTTAAGCTCTCTAATATGTCTGAGTGATCTATTTGTTTGTTCTTATACCATACCACACCATATTTCTACAGCTTTGTAGTTTGTCTTAATATTTGGTAGAGTAACTTCCTCCCTTTATTCTTTTTTTAAGGTTTACGCATTTATACATGAACTCTTATTCTTCCACACATCATTTAGGATAAGTTTATAAAGTTCCAGCTAAATAAAATATTCAGCTAAAATTTTCACAGAGATTACTTGGAAGTTATTGATAAACTTCAGGAGTAATAACATCCTTATGAGTAAATTGTCATGTCCATGATTATTTCTTATGTCTTCTATTGAAGTTTTAGAGTTTTTTTTCATATGAGTCCTTTGTATTCAAGATAATTACAATCTGCAGAAAATGACAATTTTATCTCTTTCTTTACAATATTTATACCTTTTATTTTTCTTCCCTTATACTGTTGGCAAGGATCTCCAGTAATATGATAAACAGTAGTAGTAATAGTAGGCATCTATGTCTTACTTTACATATTAAACCTATCTAAAGGTTTTTCATTAAGTATTATGTTCACTGTAGGTTTACTAAGAAAGAACCAAGCATCCATGCATCGTAGCAGCACAGGTGCCTCTTCGGCTCTCGCTTTGGACCTCTGCTCAAAATGGACCCCAACTGCTCCTGTCCCACTGGTAAGGACCCCAGCTCTGGCCTCTGGATGCCCCTTTCCTAGCAGCAAGACAGTGTCCCTGGGGTGCAGAAGGGAGTATTTTGAGCTTAAGAGGAAGTAGACTCCTGTAGACAGCAGGTCCTGTACTTTCTCCCTGGCCAAGCGCCTTTATCCCCAGTCTAAGCATTTCCAGCCTCCCAGTGGCTCCTGTTTCCAAGCACTAGAGACCCGAGAGGCTCAAGGCTGTTTCTGATCCACACCATCCAGGTGTCAAGGGGCTGCTGGACCTGGCCATGGCGCTCTGTCCAGGCCTCTACATTGCCTGTGCTAGGTGGGAGGCAGGGGACATTGCCTCTTCTGGGCTCAAGACATAAGGTCCTGGCCCCCAGCCCCAGCATTCCTGAACTGGGTCTGAAGCCTGGGACCATCCCTGTGGGGTAAATACAAGGAGTGCCCTGCCTGCTCCAGCAGGAGGACAGATAAGATAGGGTTAGGCTTGCAGCTGTAAGAAAAAAAAAAAAAGAACCAAGCATTTATCTTGCCTTTCCTATATAAACTGTATCAGGGTAATCAAAGGCTTGATGAAGGATTATGTTTCTTTTAATACTAAATTAATAAGCTAATAAACAAAGAAATGATAAGTTAGAGAATATCACCATTTTGCTACCCTCTAATAAAATAATGATTTAGGCAACAAACAATCCCAATTCCCCGCCAAAAAATAAAAAATAAAAATAAAAGAATTTATATGATAAACAATTATTGAAATTTATAAAATGCTTTTCTGAATCAAATCAGAAAAACATTTTTCTTCTCTCAACTATTAAAATGGTGAATTACATTAATAATTATTTTAAAGATGAACTATCTATCAAATTCCACTTGCTCATGATGCATCACTGTTTTAGTACATTCTTAGATTCAGAAAGCCAGCATTTTATTTAGGATCCTTTTTTACCTAATAGAAAAGGTCGTCGAAAAAGTCACGATGCATGTTTGCAACAGATGGCGCTAGTTTATTTTTGGAAGTACTAGAGTCATTCCCATCTATGTTATTGCTATGTCATTTGACAGCTGAGAGTTCTAGCTTCATTCTAAAAAAAAAATTGAGGGATTTGGTTGAGTTTTGGAGATTTTACAAGTTGAAGATGGAAGACCAAACTGTACATTTTTGCCATATTTTACTGTTTTACTTCCATAAAGGGAAGAATGCGTGGCAAGCTTGTGAAAAGTTGCGTAAAGTTTGCAGTGACAATGTTCGACAAGAACGTCAGTGCCAACGATGGTTCACGAAATTCCGTGCTGGTGATTTTGATCTCAATGACGCTCCTCAGTCCGGGAGGCCCACCGAGGTTGATGATGACAAAATGAAGGCATTGATCGAGTCAAACCCGCATTACACGACACGAGAGATTACAGAAACATTGAACATCCATCATTCAAGTATTCACAACCTCCTGAAGAAGCTGAGATACATAATCAAGCTCAATATTTGGGTTCCGCATGAACTCAAAGAAGTTCATTTGACGGTGCGTATAAACATCTGCAATATGTTCATTAAACATGAGGAAAATTATCCTTTTTTGAAGCAACTGATAACTGGTGATGAGAAGTGGATTGTTTACAACAATGTGGTGCACAAACGGTCTTGGTCCCGACGTGATGATTCGCCTCAAACAACATCAAAAGCAGACATTCATCAGAGGAAGGTTATGCTCTCAATGCGGTGGCATTTTAAAGGTGTCATGTTTTTCAAGCTCCTACCAAAGAACCAAACCATCAATTCGAATGTGAACTGTCGGCAATTGGACAGTTTGAACGAATCCATCATCCAGAAATGTCCAGAGCTCATTAATTGTAAAGGAGTTGTGTTCCATTGTGACAAGGCGAGACCACACACAAGTTTGATCACCCGTCAAAAACTATTAGAGTTTGGATGGGATGTGTTGCCACACCCACCATACTCGCCTGACCTTACGCCGTCAGACTTCCACTTGCTTCGCTCTCTTCAAAACTCCTCGTGTGGTATAACATTCAGTTCAGATGAGGCTGTAAATCAGCACCTTGTTTTGTTTTTTGCAAATAAAGACAGGTCCTTCTATCTTCATTTTATGTAGCAACTTGTGTAAAGAAGGAATTATTCCTTCACAATTTGGTAGATCTCACCTATACATTCATCCAGGTATGGGGTTTGGGGAGGGAAGAGCTTTGATTACCATTGCAATGTTTTTCATACTGTATTCAAGTTGCCTATCATTTTTTCTATGAATTTATCCACTTTTTTCCATTTTTTTTAGCATTTAGCTGTTCATAAGTCTCATATTTCAGAGCTTGCCAAACTTTCTTGGTTCATGGCATCTTTAGTGTCTCAGTTTTTTGTTTGTTTTTTTCAGGGAA